TAGGCCCGAGGGGCATAAACGTATTGTCATAAGGCCCAAGCAGGCATATGATCCGTAAGGCCTAAGCAGACATACGATACTAAGCAGGCATACGATATGTGGACCAGCAGTAGTCTATTGGTATAGATGTGCACATGGGTCTGAACACTGTGAATTTATGATGAAACCTAGGATGCTTAATTGATTCTTGTACATGCTATGATCATTCTATCTCTGTTACTGTTTTGTTATGTAAATGTTTATTGCATAGTGGTGAGCACTACTATTTCCAACTGTGCTCATCCCCACCTGAAATTAACGTTTCAGGTTAAGCGAGGCAGGTACGATGGCGGAGTAGAGCGAGTGGTGGTCGGTCCATAAGATCGGTTAATTATTGTTATGCTCCGCTATTTGTACCACTTATGAATTTTATGAACTTTGAATACTGTGGAATTTATGATTTATGGATTTATGGAATTTTGGGTATTATTGATTATTGAAAAAATATTAAGGAGAATGCTCCTTAAGTACCATGATGATAGTTGAAAACCTGTTTGGGTAATTGATAGAATTAGGGGGTCCCTGTTTGGGAGTTTGATGATTGGTCAATGTTGAAATGATTTTGAAATAATGAGTAACGCCTTAAATGTTTTAAAATAAATTCAAAAAATTTATTCTGATTTTTGGCAAATAAAAGTGGGGCGTTACATTTTCAGTGAACACTTCTCATTCAACAGTTCTATCTCGGAGCTCTCTTTTAAACATCGGAAAAAATTGGTATGTCGCCGACGGAAATCCATTAAAAAAAAATCAGCCTTTATTTTCAACATCTTTATAATGTGGGATACAGTTGTGGTGTAGGAGAACCAGTCTGATGAAGATAGGTGTTTCGAGGTCCGAGCACGCCGAGGGCCAAGGGTCGAGACGATCTGAGAAGGCCGAGAAAATGGCCAAAAACACGCATGCATGCCCTAAGAGACGGGTACGAGCCCGTATGCGAGGCGCATGAGTACAAGAAGAACGACATAAGTCGAACTGTACGCGGCTGAGGCGGTCGACATGCCTGGGGATGACCCAGGGCAGCAGATGAGACTTCCGTTCGAAGGAACAGACACACTCGCAGACTCGAGCATATCGCCCACGGTCGAGACACGAGATTCCCGTAGGGAGATGGCGAGGACAGGATGAGATCCGGGCTAGACGACCCGGGCCTCGAGTGAAGGGACGGATACGCGCGAGGGGAGCTCGTGCGAGCAAAAAGGAACGCACGTGCCGGGTAGATACGCGAACGGGCTTGGACTCGAGAACACGCAGGGGATGGAGCCGAGGCACTTGCGTGGGCTGGACCTGCGAGGGTCTGACAGGCCGAGGGGCTAGCAACGGGCCTAATGAAGTGCGCGACCGGGGTCGTGGGGGCGTACGCGGGCGTGATGCGCGATCACACGAGGCAAACCGTGCGAGCCGAGGAGCAAAGATTCTAGAATTATTAGTTTAATTAATTATTAGTTTGGTTAGTATTAAAGTTAGATTAGTTTGTATGTTAGTGGCGCATTTGTTAGTCATTAGCCGTGTTAGTGTGTTTATTAGGTGTTAGTTATTTAGTTAGATTAGTGCCGTAAATTGTAGCAGTGTTAGGTTAGTAATTGATATAATGTTAGTAACGTGAGGACATTTAGATATGTTGGGATTTATTTGCCGTGTGGCGGTTAGGTTAGATTTGTTAGTTTATTCAAAGTTAGCCGTGAGTTAGTATGGGCGAGAGTTTAATTAGTTTAGTTAGGAGTTTTAATTATTTTGGTAAGTGTTGATATTGAATACATTTAGTTAGCTTAGGATTAGATATATTTTCCATAGAATAGAATTAGAGTGCTAGGACTAAATCTAGTTTTTCTTATAAATACCTTATGTACTCATTCATTCGAATTATTTATCAATGGAAAACTAATTAAAACCGAACACTTGTTAAAATTATCTTGTGAGTTTGCTTCTGTGAGTTTACAAACTAGATCGTATTAGAAATAGGACCAACATCCGATTTTCTTTCAAAAACCGCGAAATACGAAGGTGTCGATGCGCGTATTAGCAACCCATCACGACGGAACCAAGGCGTCGGCGCAGCTTTCGAGCAAGTCGAGTTGGTGAGACACACGATCTCTCATAATTGCTGCTTTCATTGAGAGTGATCAACCGTGTGTCTTATTTAAACTTTTTCTTTTATCTTTCTTTTCAATTTTTCTTTTTGTGAGTTATTCAAAAGAAATTA